AATATGAAATAAAGTAAAACGCTCAGATGATACTTACAGAATATCCTAACTATTCTGGATTACAGATAAATAAGAGCTAAATGCACCTACTCACCTTTAACTGGTGCACCATCCATTATTTCATATTTTGCAATAGTTTCTGTTTCTGTTGTTGTACTGGGTCCTAGATAATAATTATATGATTATTATATAAAATAATAATTATATAAAAGTACAAATAAGTAGCGTGATATTTAGTATAGCTTTTTCCCCAATTTTCTATTTATAACTGAATGCAATTATTTCAGTAGGCTAAAAGACAGTGTCAAGTACGCTTTAACTGAACATTATTAGCCTATTAAATTACAAATTATTTTAAAAAATGGTTCTTTCTAAATGTTATGGCAGAGTTTTAAATTAATTAACACTAAGCAAGGTTTTTGTACTCCTATAGTACTAAAACAAAGCATCAGGATAACTGTGAATATAGTGGTAAATCATGGCCAAAAGATGTGCTAGTTATTTCTGCACATCGATTTGCCAAAGTGAACAAATGTCATCCTAACTTCTAACTGAATATTTACTATAGTTTACTATTATTCTGAATCATCTCCATTATCAAAAACTCTATGCTATGCTTTTTTTGAGACTCTGTTTTATTTTAAGCCAATGTACAAAAGTCTTCCATCTTTCTTAATATAAACAAAAGACAGAACTAAATTATATATGACAATATAAGGGTAATGCTTCAAAAACTATTTCACAGGTCACTTGGAAGAAAAATGTTATTTGCAAATCAGAACTAGTTAAGTTTAAAGTTACAGTAATTTATCAGATGGCATTCATACAAATAAATTCTATTCTAAAAAATATTAAAAAATCAAGAGCCTAATAGAAAAAGTGAGACCTAAATGATTAACACCAAACTACTCTTTCTTCATCTTACCAATTCCAGTTATCTCTTTTTTTATCAGCTGTAATTCCATATGTTGAATTTTTATTCTTACTAAGAGGAAGTAAATTTTTCCAACAATCACATCCTTTAAGTGATACCTTAAGAGAAAGAAAGAGGATTTGTAAAAAGTTGAACTCTGTATGCATTAAATTAGTTTTAGAATTATGGGTGTATGCTGTATTTGCATAGCTGAAAGGAACATTATTGATCTAAAGTACCATTTTCATTCAAGAACAATCACACCTCCGAAGCTGTCAACTACCACTCCATCCAAGAGGATGTGTTCATGAGATACCTTAGAGACAACTCAGATGCTAAAGGATAAATGCCTAAAGTAAAAAAAAAAAAAAGTATTTTACAAAACACTGAGATATGCACCAAAAATAAGTAAGTTGGCCCTACATGCTGGTGCCAAAAGAAATCAGGTAGTGGTGCCTGTTGCTTAGGCAACAGATGTGAAAGGCCTCAAGTTATCAGAAAACACAGCTCCTATCTACGCACCTCTCACTGCATAGAAGCAATAGACCAAGGCAGCATATAATCAGTTTAATCGTAAGAAACACAGAAAAATGGCCATTAAATATATTAATTTAATAGGGATAAAAGCCTAGTAAAACTGACTAGTCCATACCTAGCATCTCTTCACTGTTAGAGAGAGACCAAAGTTTGGAACACAACTACTAAGTTGGGATGTTCACCAACTAACTGTTGATTTTTCCATCAGCCGTTGGCACAAAGCAGAGTTTCCCACAATTCAAGAGCAGGCAGGGAGTACTACACTGAAGTAAGTGTCCTTTAAATATATTTTCTCTAATACTGTTAGGACCTAAATCCTATTACTAGCATTTGAACTGAGCTCAAAAACAGACAATAGCTAGAGAGTCACATGGTCCAAAACCACAGCCAAAACTCCAGCTGCAAACATTTTTCAAAGCTACTACTTGACATGCCAGCAGCAACATAACATTCAAGAGTACCCCAACAGCTAACATACTGATGTATAGCAGAAAGAATGGTAAAATCTTGAGACAGCCATGTATATACTTCTAAACTCAGGCTGTAGTTAACTTGTGCAATATTTTAATGTTCCCTGCAAATAACTCATTCGCATCATAACAGAAAGCTACTATTCCAACTTTATCTGCTGCTCTTGTTGTTGTTGTTCAGTCGTTAAGTCGTCTCCAACTCTTCGTGACCCCATGAACCATATTGCGCCAGGCCTTCCTGTCCTTCACTGCCTC